CTCTACTAAGTGAGTAATCCGTGTTTGGGAGTAACTCGTAAAGTGCAGGCAATGAAAGTCCCCCGATGAATTCCCAAGCCGGGCTGTCTCTCCCTCACACACTCAGTGCTATGTAGTCCACAATGAAATGCATTAGTAGCCCATGTTATTAGGGTCGCTAAGAGCTATCGGAGAATTCACCTCGTCAAGAACTCCAATCTCAGTCAGAATTCCAGTCACGCAACCAGAATGTCATAGCTAATAATAGAACCCCTTGTAGACATACCCTTGCGCGTAGCCGTCTGGGCTTTTCTCACTCCGACAATATCGGACATTCATTTTAGCGCCTCTCTGATAATCGTATAATTCACAATGGATGCCGGAAATCTAATCGTGTCCCAATCCGCGCCTTTCCCTTTCGGGACACTAATCCCTACGGAACGTAACAATAGATCGGCATATAAGAGAACAGATCTGGACGAGTTTCATCGGTAGTTCCCAGGTCACTACCTAAGCGTTCAACGGCGGATTATGACACAAATTATTCATGACTTGATTACGAAAAGTCGCTTCTTCCAGGACCATCATGGTCAGTCAAGAAGCGGCGTCGGTGACACCAATTATTGAATAGTTAATAGCATCATTACAGTAATTAAATGACTGCTTGAATGAGTTATGATGGACTCGCGTTAACCTTCTGCCCACGTCGAGTATGCCCACATTCAAAAATCCACAGATCTCTACTGCATAACCTAAAGGAGCAAGGAATTACCCCGGTAACAAAAGGTAGAAGCGAACGTTCCAGATTTCATCAGACAATATTTTAGACTGGCTCCTGTTCAGTCTCGGGATGGCCTTTGAATGCGCAGTGGGCCCATACAATGATTTCGGGGTGGGCCAGTGCAAAAGTCGATACTTTTTTCTCCCAGGCTACCACGGCTTTAACTACCTGGGAGACAGCGGGTGACAGGAGACGTGTTTGACCCACGGGGATACAGAATGAATGTTCGATCCGAGGACCGGTTGGGACACTGTTAGGCAATACCATACTCCTCTTCGCTCCTCGTTACAGAAGCAACTCGCAGAAACTCCAACCGAATTGGATAGCAGGGTTACCTTTATGGGTAACAAACTCTTTCAAGAAGAGAATTTTCTGAGTTAGAGAACAAAAGATTAATTAATTAGCACTGATCAGTCCTTTGTCATAGATAACTTTCCCTTGAATGAGAGCATCGAACTCGCAGGTAAAACGGCACTAAGGCCATACTGTGATCGATTCGTTGCCCTTACAGTGATACCTACCAAGCTGCCACATTCAAAAACCCAGAGAGATATCTCCTGCACAACCGAAACGAGCAAGAGATCATCCCTTAGTAATAAACGGTACTACCTAATAGTAATAGTCAAGGGCCGAATAGTGCCATAATGGGCAGTAAAATTCAATTAAAGTTCGACCTTTTGACTTCCCACGTTAACGCGCGGTCCCAGATACCGAGACTGCAGCGTTTGAAAGGAAGAGTAGTCCAGGAATTTAAGGTGGATTTTCTAGATATCCTAGCCTTCTTGATGAATACTCACGGCACCAAAGAAGAAGGTAGTTCCACTACGTTATGGCCAAGCAACAACTCGCACTTCTACATTGTCTGAGCCCAGAACACTGAAGAAATTCTTCCGCTAAACGATCTTCATTCACTTTTGGGGATGAAGCGAAAAAAAAAGGTAAAATTGAAAAAAAACAGGATGCGTCTACGAATACGTTGCCAAAAAAAGCTAGCAGCTCAAACATGGATAGAGTGTGCCCCACTTGACCCCTTTTACCCCGAAGGCAGTATATATGTGATAGGGATAAGGACACGAGCGACAGCTTGGCCGAAGCTCTCGAGACCCCTCAGTAACCTACCAGACCTTACTGATTCCGAGCAAGTGAACCAGAAGAAGAATGCAAATTATTACCTCTCCAACCCGGCTTACATTCACATCTGTATCCATTTTCAAGTGGGTGACAGGTGGCATTGTTACGACACGGATTACTGTAACACTGATCCACGCGAAGATTGCATTGACCAGGTTGATCGACGGAACCTGCAATTATTATTCATAAGATCCTTTCAGAAATTCTAACCCAAAAAATTCTGGTACAATTACCGATCATAGGCGATCTGAAAATCTGACTTTGAAAGTAAAAGTATGCCACTTTCGCAGTTGCTACCTGATCAGGTATTCTTCCAGATTACGTGATTGAATGGGAGTCAGAGACGGCCTATAGTGAAAGATACTACGAATTCAGGTAGGTAGGCTTTAAAAATCAGACCGATTATACAAGAATTTGGTACAGCTCTCCATTTCTATGATTTTCGACCTCGTAATTCAAATTTTCAGGTATCCAAGTATCGAAAGAGAAAGTCGAACGAAATGCTGAACCTTCTAAAAAGGCGTATTTGGAAGTGTGGGTTGGTCCTTCTCCTAGGGGTAGTAATTTGTCTTGAAAATCCTCGTGCAAAAAGAAATGATGCTATGTACCAATCCCTTAACGTGGAGATGGTACCTTCATCCAGTATTGCATAAGTTTTTATTTTTGAAAGCACTCTTTCAGAATTGTCCGGCACCAACACATGAACGCAGCTTAATGTTTAAAAGGCTCAGCAAGAAATCGCCGTTGGACTGGCTCCCTTTTTCCAATCGAATGCTCACAATCCAATTCGGGAGGCTAAAATCGGAAAGGAAGTGCTGAACTACTGTGCTTAACTTCTTAGGAGAACCATGGTCTATTTGTTGCCATTTCTAAAGCACTACTGTCGACACTTCCCTACTATAGCTTCACTCCAGTAAGCACTTTCTAGCCTCACTTGGTCAACAGTCTGAGAGGACACCCATCAGGTATGTATTCAGGAAGTGACATCTCCGACCACAACATCCTGAGAGAACTAAGGCAAGACCCAAAGAGTGGCTATGCTATAGCGTCTGTTGACCCCCAGTGAGCTTTCACACGACTCCTCAATCCATCCTATGGCGGACGAAAGCCTTTGGGCAGTAAGATGAGGGCGGTTTAATTAGAGCCGATGCCTCCTTGGCATTGCACAAACAAAGTGACCAAGACACTTGAATTGCACGCGACATTAATTGAAGTCGTCTATCTAAACTGTTTTCGCCGTCGGCCGCTGCCTCTTATCGGGCATGATGAAGTGGCAAACATGGAAGCACAGCGAGGTACCCCCAAATTTGTTGGAATGTCCTGTTGAAGCTTTGTTTGGGCGACCCGATTAGGAATCATTGAGGCTCTTTGTTAAAGGGTCACAATAGGAACTTCTTTGAAATTCGGGTCCCCCACCAATATCTCATTGCTGGAAGGATACGTAAGGAAAACCGGCTCCTATCAAATAGACCCCATCGCTGAGTGAAATTCATAGGAAAAGAGGAATTGGAGTCAATCATAGCAGTAAAGAGGACAGTTTTGTGCTGTAGGGTCTCAAGTTTCTTACGGTAGTTCTTCATGAGCACCATAATATCAAAATAAACAAGTAAATAAAAACTCACTGGCAAATCCAACAGGGCACTCGCATATGAATGTTTTCAGTGTCTTCAGTGTTCTCGCCATGAAACTATCAGTTTGATAGACCTGAAATTTGGTTCATACTCAGTTTCGTAGCTTTCAGCTACCACTAGCAACTGGTTACCTCTACGGCATTGACGTGTTTTAGTGTTTGACGGCATTTCTGATAGTATGGGCAAGGTTCACGGGCACAGCTTTCATCTCGGACCACTTCGATTTTCATCAACGACGTCCGTTCCAGTTGCCGAACTTCGGATCGAAGAAGATCCTCAACTTTCCAAGCCCTGAAATGGGTGAACCAGTTTCTGCCACATTCTTAGAATACGGAGGTAGCGTGCTAGCTGAGAGCCCAGCTCAACCCTAGCCCAACTTGCTAGATCGAGTTCTCGCCGAATTTTTTGAGCTTCGAATCCTTGTAAGGCTGACCTTTCAGAATTAAGCTTGTGGAAAATACAAAGGTAAGTGGTTTTGTGTTAGTTGGCTCCGCTATTTTGGTTATAAACAAGCTGAATGCATTTATAGGCCTCCAAGATTCTCAGTGGAAGACAAAGGTCCTGCGTATTCCAAGGGATCACCCAACTAGGTGCTACCCACTTTACCCGGGCCCATGTTTTGGAGTTGTAGTTATCTAGCAACCCCCATCCGTTCCACCAGATGTGACCGCTACCAAATTGAGCGGTTTCCGTCTGTGTAATGTGCAACTGCCATGCGACACCTAACATATGGCGTGATGGCAGAAACATGAAACTCATCCGATCCGTCGCCACGATCGGATATCTATAATAATAACCAAAGGACTTTTGGCTATCGTATAATTGCTGGTTCCGTCCTGGAATGTATCCAGCTTTTAGATGAAAGCCCGTAAACCAAATTACACAACTGTAATCTGCCTTCTATTCCTGAATGTAGTTTGTCGAGGCAACCCATGGACCTAAAGTCACCTCAAAACAAAGTCGAGGAAGATGTATTCCGTTTGATTCTTAACAGAGCCAAGATCCAACACCTAGGCACAACCGATNCATTTCTGAAGCTCAGTTGTCGGAAAGTTACTATCATAGCGTTTTATTTCGGTAGGTTCTTCTATTTCTCTCACATAATTCGAGAGTAGGAAGAAAAACTCTCCGACATAAGAAATCTGGAAGGGACCCAAGTATGGCTATGCTTTAAAGTGTCTGTTGACCCCTAGTAAGCTTTCGCACGACTCTCTGATCCATCCTATGGCCGAGGAACGCCTTTGGGCAGTAAGATGAGGGCGGTTTAATTAGAGCCGATGCCTCCTTGGCATTGCACAAACAAAGTGACCAAGACACTTGAATTGCACGCGACATTAATTGAAGTCGTCTATCTAAACTGTTTTCGCCGTCGGCCGCTGCCTCTCATCGGGCATGATGAAGTGGCAAACATGGAAGCACAGCGAGGTACCCCCGAATTTGTTGGAATGTCCTGATGGAGCTTTGTTTGAGTGGCTCGATTAAGAACCATTGGGGAACTCTTTGTCCATTGTCACAATTGGAACTTCTTTGAGATCCGCCGACAAAGATGTCAATTCTGGAACGATACCTAAGGAAAAAAGATCCCATCAAATAAACCCCATCGCTTCCAAGATATTTATTTGGGAATTCCCCTCGAACTTGTAAGCCTGGAGGACCTTGTGCTGCACCAACTCAAAGAAATGAGTTTCTCCCATCCAAAATTAGAGGGGAGCACCCTATTCTTACTTCTACTTAACAAAAATAAGGATCGAAAGTTCTACATGAGTGAAACTCATGAGAAAATAGTCAATTTGTGCTCAAGTCAGTTTTGTAGGGTCTCTACTTTCTTACGGTAGTTTTTTGTGAGCATCATAATATCAAAATAAACAAGTAAATAAATAACTCACTGGCAAATCCAACAGGGCACTCGCATATGAACGTTTTCAATGTTTTCAAAGTTCTTGCCATAAAACTATCGGTCTGATAAACCTGAAATTTGGTTCATGCTCAGTTTAGTAGCTTTTAGATCCTTCTAGTTACTCATTACCTCTACGACATTAACGTGTTTCAGTGTTTGACGGCATTTCTGATAGTACGGACAAGGTTCACGGGCACAGCTTTCATCTCGGACCACCTCGATTTTCATCAATGACGTTCTTTCTAGTTGTCGAACTTCGGATCGAAGAAGATCCTCAACTTTCCATGCCCTGAAATGCCACCAGTTACTGCCACATTCTTAGAATACGAGGTAGCGTGCTGAGAGCCCAGCTCAACCCTAGCCCAGCTTGCTAGATCGAGTTCCGACGAATTTTGAGCCCCCTATCCTTGTGAGGCTGATCATTCAGAATTAGGCTTGTGGAAGATTCAGAGAAAAGTGGTTTTATGTCGGATGGCTTCGGTTTTTCGGCATAAACAAGTTGGATGCATTCATGGAACTCCAAGGTTCTCAGTGGAAGTCAAAGGCCCTGCGTATTCCGAGGAATCACCCAGCTACGTGCTATCCACTCTTCCCGTGCCTATATTTTGGAGTTCTCGTTCTCTAGCAGGCCCCATCCGTTCCACCAGATGTGTCCGCTACCAAATTGAGCGGTTTCCGTCTGTGTAATGTGCAACTGCCACGCGACACCTAACATATGGCGTGATGGCAGAAACATGAAACTCATCCGATCCGTCGCCACGATCGGATATCTATAATAATAACCAAAGGACTTTTGGCTATCGTATAATTGCTGGTTCCGTCCTGGAATGTATCCAGCTTTTAGATGAAAGCCCGTAAACCAAATTACACAACTGTAATCTGCCTTCTATTCCTGAATGTAGTTTGTCGAGGCAACCCATGGACCTAAAGTCACCTCAAAACAAAGTCGAGGAAGATGTATTCCGTTTGATTCTTAACAGAGCCAAGATCCAACACCTAGGCACAACCGATAGCTCAGATTGAACATATTTAACACACGTCACACTGATGGAACCTTTCAGTACTCTCTCAGACCCCATATAATGAGTATTAGGGTCAATAAACTAGGAGAAATCGTCCGCTATAGACTAAAGGAATACGACATGAAACAGGACAGCGAAAAAGATTAGCGGTATGGGCGGAAAGTTCAAGAGTTCGAGTTCGTCGGAGGCCAGACGTTTCATCCATAATTCTGCATTGGAACTGGTTTGCCTGGTGTAAATATATCCCTATCAGAGTTACAAAAGAATGGAATGCCCAAATAGATATAGGTGGTATCGAACCAAGGAAAACAAGCATCTGTTATTCCTGTTCATTTTTATCAATAACTCTACGCGTTATAAGAAAGATATACGCTACTGGCAAGGAGGAAGATGAAGAAGTCATCTCACAAGAAGAAAGTTGATTCTGCTCTAGGCACTTCATAAACCCCTAACAAGACGTTCAACTCCCTAATCAAGCCTTCCAATCTCCCCTGATCTCCAAATTTTGGCGCATTACTGCTTTAGGATCATATGGCGACGAGGTGACAGATGCTCGTTAGTGGCGGCTTGAAGAAAAACCACTTGACGAACATTATGAAAGAGGCGAACCAAAGGAGATGACGAACAGTTGCGATTTGTCCTCACTCACAGATGCCGACATTAAGATAGGGCCTTCAAAGCGAAACCCATTAGTCTACCGAACGCATATGAGGGAGTATAGGACTGTTCTATGCAATCTCAAAAGGATAAATTTCTCAACATGGATCATCCCGTGAGGATGCGCCTCGAACATGACTTCCATGTGGAATCGTAGGAGCGTTTCAAATTCATATGCGGCTTACACAATGAATTGTGACGGTCAGCCGATATAAAGGTCAGTGCTTTCTTTCTTCCAGACAGGTCTGGAACCAATCAACAGACCCCGATGAGATGGAAGGCTTGGTTGGCCTGGGTAGATATCAATGCGGGTTCCAAACTCGCGACCATGCGTACGTGATAGTGCGCCTCCTACCACTACGCCAGCAGCTTTGGGCAAAACCGAATAGAAGAAGATTTCAAATCTTGTTATATCAGACTCACTTGACAATCCTTCCACGATCGGCTATGACCAGGCTGATCTCCACTCCTTCAGTAAGCCGATCGGCTCCCACTATGAAAATGTTCTGCTCTTCCCATGTATCGAGACTTGCCAACGATTGCCTATAAAAATTTTGACGGTAAGAAAGGAAGGAGCAATGATAAACATGATATCCTCATTTATGAAAAGTGCAAGCAGGAAAAACTCGGTATTACCTGAACCTATTGAATACGACTGGATCCCAGAAATCATCAAGCGACATTTTAGGTATGAATACGGTCACAGCCTCACGCAGTGAATCTTGGGTAAGGTAGACATGAATGAACCGACACTTTGCACATACCGTATTTGGACCATCTGAATTGATAATTCTCGAATTGATATTCTTCAATAAATTCAAAGGCTATCTCTAGTCAAAGTCTTCAGTTAAAACTTAAGCAGCTCTCTCTCTCTCTGACCCCTCAATGCTTACTTTCGAAACGCCCTGTTCATGCAATAGTGTAGGGTGACTTCAGGTAATTAACTCTTGGAGATAGAATCGTGAAAATATTGGAGAAAATGTAGTTGGGAGGGGAGGGAGTATCCCAGGTCTCGGATGCTAACGCTCGAGCCGCCTTCACCTATGCATAAGGACTTCTTAGCTAAGGAGTTGTAGTGTTCAACCAAACCTAGGGAAGGAAGGAGTCAGAATGGGTGAGATGATTATCTCATGCAAAAAGCTGTGAATAGAACATTAAAGTGACTCACCCACCCAGGAACTCCTTCCCTTTTGAGGAAAACTATACTACAGGGTGGGCCAAAATTATGATTACACAGAAATCGCATCGCAGAAAACGAATAGAAAGCCAATAGAGCAAACCAATTTCATTAAAGGGTTTATCACAAATTTCTTATCAAAACT